CCCTCTCTCCGCTCCTCACCGGTATGTGTAATGTGAGATTTGAGATGACCCTCATGCCAGCTGCTTCTCGTTCTCCAGTGATGATCCACTCGTGAGGAAGCAACATCATATTTGTTTCTAATAGAGACGCTCCCTATGTCCAATCCGTAATTGGCACGCTTTCTCCACTTCAAAGACGTCTGAAGGTGGGAACCGGCGCAGGCTGATGAGTGAGGCTCTCGGTCTGGGTGTGGGCTGGACAGTGGGGGGTTAAGGGTGATGTGTTTGGGCTTTCACCACATGCTGACTCAACATGATTCAGCTCAGCTGACCTTGTGACCCCTACTGGCTGCAGAGAGGCAGTTTTGGCACACGGGTGTTCGTGCTAAGATAGGCGGCACTGTACTTGTGTCAATGAGTCCGCCGTGACCCAAAACAAAGTGGCAGTGATGCTACAAATGTTTTGTCTGAGCTGGCCATGCATAGACTTCCTCTATTTGTTTACGTGTTTGTCTGTTTGGTGACTGTACTAACAGGAACATTAACCGTACCTCCGTTTGGATTTGTAAACCCTAACAGGTCTTACAAATAGGACCACCAGTACCAATGTGTTTAGAAAATGTATACCCTGTACCTGGGCTCATCTTCTAGGATTAAAGGACTTATTAGGACTATTTATATCGATCAATCTGTAGATTATATTTCAACTAATTGATTATTTGGTTTGTCAATGAAAGTTCAGAAAACTGTGAAAGACATAGAATCCTCTATAGTGACATTTGTTTAATGTCTGTCCGACCAAGAGTCAAACGCCCAGAGATATTCAGTTTCCAGCGATATTAAAGAAACAAATCCTCACATTTGAGAAGCTGGACCCAGAGAATGTTTGGTGTTTAATGTCCGCCTCACACAATCTGGCTTCTCCATTTTATTGGAGAATTAATCATAATTAAGCTAGGATCATTGCAAGAACAGATGTGAATTTCCTTTTTGTGGTTTGTTTTAGATTTGAAATGATCCTTTTTTTCTAAATAGTCACCAAGGAAGTATCGGGTGATTGAGAGCGAAAGAGACGGGACTGTTCACTCCTAAGTGAATGTACAGTAGTGTGTTCAGAAGACAAGGTCCTTACACTCACCTCATCTACGGTTTGTCAAACCCCAAGACACCCCCCAGTATCCCAGTCTGAACCGCTTTCCATCCTCCGCGTGCAATCGATATTTTCATTCAAATTGACTGGTTCAAAAACATCATGTGAATTCTTTTACCTTTTTCTCAAACATAAATCCAAAAGTGATGTCTGGTTTTCATTTTTGAGGGATTTCTTCTGACCACCTTTCAGCTGCAGAACATATGGACACTCACCTGCAGATCCTCTGAATCGGCCATGTAAATGGTTTAGTTGGGAGGCTGGAACACAGTTTGGTGAAGTGTAAAACGGAAACAGTTTTACCGGAAGCTTGCCGCCAGTGTTTTTGCTCATTGACAGTTTTTCCTTGTCTGAGAAAGAGCCAATCAGAGTTTATAGGTAGGGTTTAGAATTGAGACAGTTGTATGCATGTTATGAGGCCTGTCATAATACTCTTATCAGTCTACTGTAGAAGATTTTGGACATGACATTTATCATTTCTGCTCACCTCGATATCGCCCATTGTGCCTAAATGCAGGTTTCTTTGTATATGAACGTCGCCAACATTTCAGCCATCACGATGGCAGAACAAATGGCGGCGTTTTCCCTGACGTTATAAGACCAGTGCAGTGCCGAAGAGTTTCTTTCTTTAAGCCTTTAGGCTTAATAAAAAAAAAAGAAAACCGGAATATGCTGAGACACAATGCTCTATATTACCAATTTAAAAAATGTGGACAGATGTAACGGCTAGCTTTGAATATCCGCACAGTTACTTCACAGTATAGATGTGCTCCCGTGGGATTGGCAATTGGTAATTTCATATATAGGTAATATTGTGTAATTAGAAAAAGCTTCCTAATCATTGCAAACTAGCTCTGTTACAGACGGATGCTATGCCTGTGCCAATTACATTTATTTTTAAACTAAGGTACAAATCTTTGTCTGCTGAGATTGTTTTTGTAAAACAACAAATAAAATGGACTCCTTTTTAAATGGAGTAATAACAAGATGGTCATGATGTTTCATTCACATTTATCTTAATAAACTTTGTAAAATAGTTTTTACTTTGAGGCAACTCTTTGCCTCCAAAGCTTTCTTTAGACTATGTTTAAACGTTTTACTTTTTGATATCTCGTTATTTCTTCAGTTGTCTCCACTCATCGAGGACTTTGAATGTTGTTTACAGGGAAATCCTCCGTCCCAGGTCTCTGTTGGAGCATTAGGGGGACCAGCTCTCAGCATTCTGGTGGGCCAGCGGCCCCACAGCGACAAGCCCCTATGCTCTTTATTTGGCACGTAGCCTGGAGGTGTCAGGAATATCGACACGCTTTCACGTGACGGAGACTTTGCCAGCCTTTTCCCCCCCTTTCTTAAGCCCGGCATTCTGCCTGCCCAGCCAGGTATTGTAGGGCCCCGTGAAGGCCCTGTGAATAGTGTCAAACTTGATAGTTCTCATTTTGCTTCCTGTACATGGCAGAAGAAAAAGTGCCCACCGTGTGGGTTTTCCTTTTGTGATGGCCCTCTCTAGTCTTCCTGGGAACACACCACATTCCAGCCACAATCATTCCCTTTGTGAATCCGGGTATTGTGGGTGAGTCTGTTATGCCGATAACCCTGCTAGCTTTCAGTGTAATGCATGCAAATATCATAGAAGTCTAGACTCGTATTTTTGCAAACAATGCCAGATAATGAGCAGAGTGTTTTCAGTGATATGGCCGAGATTTTGTTTTGACACATCCTCAGTCATTCATGAAAGACCTTTTGTGCTCATCCACGCCTAAGATGTGATTTAAGGTCTGCTACATCTGGACAAATTATTGCGCCAGTTTACCATACATGGGCCTCATGTGTCAGTTATGGTTTATGTAACGTATATACGCGTAACCATAGTCTGGCCTGCTAATCCCAAGGGCATCATTTCTAATGCGTCTCGGAGAGGGATTTTCATGCATCTATCCCCCAGAACACCCCAGACCACAGAGCTGCTAGATGTTTCTGCAAATTTGATTTACCTCGACTCAAAAGGTACTTTTTGTACATGAATTCTTTCCCCCTCAATTCACAACTCCAAGTGTGTTATGGTTCACTGTGTACAAAGTATTTGAATGGTTCTTGTCTTCACTCCAAAACGCTCAGGAAGTTCTAGATCTTTTGAACATTGTCAATTAAAAGTAACGACTTATATCCTGCCAAATGCAATGTGTTAAAAACATTTTTGATCACCTGCTGCAGCCTGGAGAAAACCCTCTCCCACTGTCCTGTGTGTTATTGTGTCATGAACCCTCCACCGTTACCCCCTTTGGGTGAAGGGAACATGTTTTCCTCCTCTCTGTGACAAGAAGGAATTGTTAAGGTTAAGTAGATAGGGCAGCCGGAAATAATTACCAACCACTTGTGAAGTTTTTTCCCCCTCCTCTTTGTTCATCTTTTCCCTTTCATTTTTAACAATCTTTTCAATGTGCAGATCTTGTTTATGATTAGGTGCAGCCTGGTCTTGCCTCTGAGCATGGCAAAAGACGTTGGCTGAAACGAGCAGTAGCCGTCGGATCTGTAATTTACTAGGCTTAAATACCTTTGGAAGCTCCTTTGCCAAAGGAAAGGCGGGCTTTTGTGTGAAGTTCATGCAAAACGACCTCCTTTCTACAAATCAACTGGCAGATGACAGACAATGATGAAAATTTGATTCTTTGAAGTTGTAATGGCCATTGAAATGTGCAAAATTCTTGTATTGAAAGGAGAGCACCCTGGAAAGCCCTCAGTCTTGGGTGGCTGGCGCTGCGTGCTGGGAGGTTCGTCTGTGTTTTGTCGCCGACTTCCCATTGCTTGTTTGCTAATTCCCTGAAGAATTGGACCAGATCCTTGATAGGAGCTTGAAGGGGCTCCAGTTGCTCAGGAATATGCATTTAGTACGCCCAGAGGCCCCTCCTCCTGCTCTTGTTGCGCTGGCCTACTTTCTGATGGTCTGGAATAAATCACCTCAAGTATTAGGCATTCATTTCCGCCACCTCGGTGCCAAACAGCGTAAAGATGGCTGTTATTATATTTTTCTTTTGAATCCAGTATTTACCTTTTCACATATGCAAGCTATAGTATATACTCATTTTTTATTTCAGTTATACGGACATTTACACACAATTAAAGTCTCACAAACACTATTGTGAATGACAGAACGGTTTCCTTAGCCCATTGAACAATCTTAGACATCTACAAGTAACATATCAAACATTTTAAAACCAGAGCAAAAGGTTAAAGCACAGGAGAGATTTATATTGCAAAAGTTACCTATAAATAGCATTCATTCCTTGGATTTTTCCTGTTTTATTATTTTTCTGAAATTAATCCCTACAGATTGATGAGAAGTACAAAAATAGGAAACATAGGAGTACTTTTTATATAACAACTGAAATTGTTCCTAACACCATAATTCTGACGGTAAACACACATTGTCAGAACACCTGCAAGCTTGCCTTCAGATGACCTTTCTCAACCATCAGTTGCACATAATATATCCTTGCATGAACACCTGTTCCTAAAATAAATAAACATCAGTCAGTGTGTTTTTGTAGAAACGGTGTTGTTTTGACTGCTTGTTTTGCATCTTAAAAAGACTTGTACGGATGAATAATTAATAAATCATGTACTCAAACCTATTTTTATTAGCAATAACTATTAATGATTTGTTCTTGACTGGCTAATAGATCACATAGTTTTCATTCAGCTGGTTGGTAACATGGGATTGCGATCAAATGAGGTCACACTTATTTTTTTAGGAACTGACGGGGGTAAGGGTATCTACAGTGTTTATAGAAGGTTATCATTTTAATTCCTGGTGTTCTCCATTGTGACATCCGCTCTGACTCACAGCTGGATGTGCTTTGTTTCTGTCCCTCAGGACATCACCACCCTGACAGGGGTCCCGGAGGAGCACATCAAAACACGGAAGGTTCACATCTTTGTTCCCGCCAAAACAGCCATGCAGTCGGGAGGCCACAACAAAACGTGGAAGCTGGACTTTGACACCAGGGAGCGCTGGGAGAACCCTCTGATGGGCTGGTCCTCAACGTAAGGATCTCAGAAAATAAAGGGGTTTTACAATCTGCAGGGCATAAGAAACCCCCTCACATAAATAATGTCCTATATGTGCCTCTGATCAGGTGACCTCTTGTGTCTGACATCTCGTTTTGCCTTTCAGTGCGGATCCCTTATCCAACATGATGCTCAGCTTCTCCTCCAAGGAAGATGCCATCGCTTTCGCTGAGAAAAATGGTAAAACATTTAAGATGTGTCAAGATTAAACATTTACATTTAAATCACACCTTTTGTATAAAACAACATTAATACAATGTCACGGCTAATCATGGAGAATCAGTTCAGTTTATAAATTGCATTACAGAGTTATGATACACACAAATATGCATAGATTTTTGCCAAAACGTAATCAGTGAAAGTCAAATAAACACGAGATAATATATCTCTATTAGTCATATAGTAGTACTATTAGGAGTGGTATTACGTTACTGTTGTGAGTAGAGGGATTGTAAAGCTGATAAGTGTTGTGCGTTGACTTCATCAGAGAGAGTGCAGGAGTAACTCGATTGAATGTGGATCAATGTGCACTTTGATTCAATCTGAAACTGTCCGTTAGCATCTTGCATAACGCAAAGCATCTCTGCACTAATCAGGGGCCGTCATACCTTAAGGATAATGGCAATATCATTTTTTAAATAAAAAATGTCACAGCTTATTAAACCTTACAAACCCGGACTGTAATCAGGTGATGATTATAGCAGTACAACAGCACCTTAAAATACCTCTGATGTCAACCTCTGGGCCTCAAAAGAAAAAAGGAATGAAACATAAAGTAGAAACTTTAGACGGACAAACAAGATGATCCTGAGTTAGTTTAGGTGAACGCACATGAGGAGGTTTCCTGTCCGGTAACACAGGAAAGAAAGTTCACTTTGACTCAGAACCAAACCATCTGGGAGAGTTTGTTGAAACTGAGCAAAGGGAACTGGCATACTCTGTTTATTGCACCATGAAAGTGATTAGTGCACTTCTGACTACACACAGCCTGTTGATGTCTACAAAACACCTCATTGTGTTTGGAATTCATCCAAAGGGAACATACGTGACGCTCGCGCCCCCATCACTTACTCTGATGTTGTTGCTTCAGGTTGGAGCTACGACGTAACGGAGAAGAGGAGCGCAAAGCCCCGAGTGAAGTCCTACGGAGCCAACTTCTCCTGGGACAAGAGGACCCGGAGGTCCGGCAAGTAAACTGAAGACGCCCATCTGTTGTCGGCGTGACCCCCGAGTGTCCCGCAGCAGACCTGTATCATTCTTGTCAATAAAAGCCTAATTATATGTGTGTGAACCAAACATTGTGGGCTTTATCGCTTTATTTTTCAAACATTCACCTCATTACCGACTACCTAACGCAGTCTCCCCGATTAATGAAGTGTTTGTTCTGAGTCGAGTTGTGCAACAGCAGAACAAAGGGGAACACATTATTACAATTAGAACCTTTAAACACAGGGATAAATATAACTGGGGCCAAAAGCAATGACATTTTTCCTGCGTGAGTGATTGTTTCCATCCCGATACCTGAATTGTTTCAGTTTTCGGAGAGATGCATAACTGGAATTTAAAGAGGGACTTGGAACAGTTTACTCTGGAAAAGAAAGCGAAAACGTTTTCTTTGCACATTAACATCTGGGCTTTGAAGTTAGCATCTTATATAACCATTACTAGCATTTTGATGAGACCAGTGACATCATGTGATTTAGATTTATCTGGTATCATTTGAGTGGAACAACGAATACTTCAATTATATTGCTTGTTATTTTTTTAGTAACTATCTGTTCATGGTTGGTTTAGACTAGAGAACATGTCATAAACTAGTAAAAAAAAAAAAAGGTTAATAAAAGAACTCAAAATGTGTTGTTTACCAACAGAGCAAGCCATAAAAATAAAGTTTACGTAACACATTCAAAACGTCACAAGTTAGTACTACCAAGAAAGGTTTGGTATTCAGCTTGGTAAATACGTTAATAAATAATTTGAGATATTTCCCAATTAATTTTGAACTTGTATTGACCTCCACATTATACCATCAATGACTTGAAGCTGTATTGGTGTGATAGGATAGACAGGTTAACCATTTTCCAATCAGAAACGCCAGATAATATATCTTTTATATTTTTCTATATAAACCATTACCGATTCACATTATTTGTTCAATAAAAAGCCTTTTTCAAATATTTGTATCAAACCTGCATTCACTTGTATTAAGTATGCATTCAGTGAAAGTTAATGGGATTTAGTCTTGATGAATATTTGCCTCAAACACTGTTTCAATAATCAACTACAAATATTAAACTAAGATTCTCTCCCTATTGAGATAAAGTTGAAATCTTTGAAATATAAAAATCCATATTATTTGTGTGCTGCTCGGCAGTGCCAGCGCTTGTTGACGCTCTTTGTGTTCCGTAAAGTTTAAACAGTGGCGTTACTCTGCGCCCAGTCCCAAACTGCGTGACTGCATTGATATTCACACAGCAATCATGGGCGCCTAATTGGTTTAGCCCTGCGTTAATTAACGCACTGCATTGCACATCTTTCACAGACTTGTGCTCGCTATTTATTTTTGTTCTGTCACTCGGCACATCAGACGCACCGATCTTATGAGTGTAATGGTCCATCTGAAAGGCAGGATATGAATGACAGCATGTGTTGCCATTCCCTTTGAAATCCCCTCGGAGAGAAGCAGCGGGGAAAAAACGCTCTTGGCACAACTTTGTATCATAAAAGTTGAAAGCATTCCGCCCGTCTTGGGCCATAAGCAGCGTAATGTAGGCTATGTGAGATGAGAGCGGCGCGGTGGCATTGTTCAAACCATCAGGACAACGCAACCATCAGCGAAACAAACATCGGCCTGAAGTGTTAAACAAACGCAGTAGGCTGCTAATGGTTTGATAGCCTGGCCATGCAAACAAGTTGAGTTTAATCATGAGTTGTGTCATCACACTTAAGGGGTTTATGTGAATCACCCAACAATTGCATCATCATACAGATAGTTTTGATCTATTTTACTATTTTATTTTGCTCACATTCTTTCACACACAGTGACGTCACGAGCTACCCACAATGCAACGCGCGCCATATATCTATATAGAAATACGCCATTTTCCTGGAGGTGCTAATATAAACAGCTAGGTAACGTAGCCAGGCAGAGCGCACTAGTTTTTTTTTCTGAATTAACGACCGAAGAAATCGCTGCATGTCTTCGGATTACATCTCTGGACTTGAGGGGTGTGCTCTAGGTCGTTACCAGCGTAAACTAGAGCTGTGTGGGTTGTCCGATTGCCCTTACAGACTGCCTGCAGATGTATGGAAAAACGACTCTCGAAAGTGGCCTTCGGTCGATTTTGGCAGCATCTACGTCTATCTTCTGGAAACACCAGGTGAATACCCCACTTGTCACAATAATATTATCATGCCAATGCATATATGTGGTATTTTAGAGTTGACTATATTGATTAAGGCAATAGACTATGATATTCTGGTTGCACCTCGTGTGAAATGGCGGATACCGGAAGTACGGTGTCGCCCTCGGCCCAAAACCTGTATGTGTGTGTGAAAGAATTGAACAATCTTAAACTGTGACATCTTATTCCAAAATCAAAGTTATATTGGATCATCCACATTGAAGTCCTTGCTAAGAGAAGTTTTAGATACAAATAATAATATTTCAATTGAAAACTTCCACTAGTAGTTTCACGTGTGCAACGTCAAACAGGAAGAGCTACATGAATCCTACGAAGACGCTCAGGAGGATGACTGAGACTCATTTGAGAGTATAACGAAGTCCCGATCAAATCAGATTAAGGTTTCAACCGTGATACACCAAATCAGTCGTGTAAAGCCTTGGTATAGCTTTACTCAAGTAGGCTACTGTACTTAAAGGTAGGTAATTCACTTCAGAAAACACTTTTTGTTATATTCCATGGAATGCTCTTAACATCCCGATAGCAATGAATATATTACATGCTTTGACAATAAATACATTTTTTTTTAAAAATCATCTGTGGAAGCCGTGGTGCTGTAAAAAGCACGACCAATTATTTTTAGCCGGCCCGGCTAAAATAACTGGATGGCCTACCTGCCAGTCAGCCTTCCATCTGTGCACAAACTTATCTCGTACCTATATTGTCAATTTCAGAATCCCATTGGTGTTTGTGGGGTCAAAGTTCAACTTTTTGCCACACTTGTTAGAATCAAAGCCACTTTGGCTTTTACTTACTTCTGCTGTTTAAATTGGAAAACATTTATTCAGCTCTAGGTGTGAAAGCACTGTAACCTGGACAGTGACTTGGAATAGAGATTTAAAAATATGAAAATACAAGATTAAACTAAATCCCATTAACTTTCAATGAATGCAGGTGGACATTGAAAGTATCCTGCAAGATAATCAACGTGTTGAACAGGACAGAAGAGGACAGCATGTTAGATATATTTACACAAGGCCCATAGATTGTCTATTTGCTGAGTGAAAACTACACTGTAGTGACACTGTAATGACACATGCTCCTCATACTAATGTTTAATGGTGTTTTGAGTCACTATTAGTGTCATAGTTTATTTATGTGTTATGGGTTAAGTAATAATTGGCCCCGCCAGTTGATATAATAAAAGCAGTGTGTATGCTGGAGCAAACCACAATCTGTTATACTTCATTCATCATCATACATAATGCAGTTACATTTTGTAGTGCTGACAGGAAAATGTGGCTCACAGACGCTAAAGGTTTTAATGTTTTTTGCAAGTATTTTCTTAAATTAAAAGAGTAAAAAACAGACATTGAGCAAAGGAATTCCAGGAAGACTTCTGTGTTTACAAATGTTTTTTTCAATTGGGGAAGAAGTTTTAATCTGCCATGAGTTGTTGTTTCAGTGCTATTGAGAGTTCAGCCTCCAGTCATTAAATAAAATACTCTGTTGGAAAGCGTACAGAACATCATCGAGCCGTGCGTCTTGCTTTGACTCAGCAGCTGGACACAAGACCTGATGTGAATGTTTTAGTCTGAACGCGTGGCTCTCAACAACACACACACCTTCACACACACACCGTGGCCCACCATGACCTGACCACTGCTCTCTGAGGCAACTCACACTGAACTCTCCAACCCCGCCATGAGGCACGCAACCCTGCTCGTCTGCAGCCAAATACTTGCTCCCTGTGTGTGTGTGTGTGTGTGTGTGTGTGTGTGTGTGTGTGTTTTCAGTACACTGCGGGACCTGCTTGTTTTGAAGGGCAGTCTCAGATTGATGATGACTTCTAGTTATCCAAACAAAAGCTCATAGCAAGCAATGCTGAAAAGAACCTGTTTACCTAAAGTATACTGTTTATTATTCTTGCATCATTTATTACCCTCCGTACAGTGAGACAACAACAACAAAAGTTATGTAGTTTCACGTAAGGGTTTTATTATAAACCCTTACATTTGTTATATTCGTGTACTGAAGTTTCCTAAAAGTAATATCTCAGGTTCTCTGAATTCATTCAATATGCTGAGTTAAAGTACACATTTTCTTACTATCACGTTTTTTCCCTCTTACCTGAATATCTGTGTACCAGGCCTTCACCAGCAACACATCAAAGGACCAATTGATGGCTTTTTGGATGATTTCCAATGTGATGATGATGCTAATTTATATAGATAAGCCAAAGGCAGACACTACTGTCTGATTATTTTAGGCCTAAGCAGTTTCTAAATAGATTTGACCAGAAACAAGACATTTAATATCGAAAAGTGCCAAACATTAAAAGGGATTATCCTCAATCGTTTTTTAAAGAGATACGTTTTTTGTCTTCAAATAGTCTTTTGATGGTGCAGAAACAGCAAACATAATGTATGAACCGCTGCTGTGTTGGAGTGATGGTAGAAATATTAGAGGCATATTTCTCAAGTCCTTGGTAAAAATAACCAAATAATCTTCAAAGCTAAAAGTGAAATTAAGATTTTATTAATATTAATATTTTTGTGGCTCAAAAACCAATAAAAGACTAAAACCAACCATGTGTCAGTCTGTCTTTAGCGCTTCCTGGTTTTGCTGTGTGTTTCTCATTATCAGTTATTCCTACTCAAGACATACATATTTAAGAAGTGGGTCACTGATGCACATTTCAGTTTTAAGAAAAATATCAGGAAACAGCACTGTAGTGTTTTTTTTTTTTATAAAATATTGCTTAACAGGAGTACAAAGTGCATTTGTGTGGGATTATTTTCAGCTGCGGATGAATACACATGTGGTGCTCTAGTGAGTATGTACTGCAGCAGGACAGTGAATGTGGATTTAAAATAAACAACAGTGTTTGGT